GTCTAGATTAGGCCTACACTGGACAATAGAAACCATGTCGAAGAAAGGAGGATGGGAGAAATTGAAGAAGGGCAAAGAAAGACGGCAAAGACAAGATGTAGTACTGAAAGGTATTCCTTCACTACTACTGTTTTTTCCTCCTACTAAGTCTGGTGGTGAGGAAGTCCAGGCGAATACCAGCCCAAGTGAACCTGCTGGGCTTGCGCTTGATGAAAAGGAGCAGCCTCCTGTGACTTCTCTAGCTGGAGTCTCACCCCACTTCTCTCAAGACATTCCCAGTGATAGTAATACAAAAAAATCCTTCTCCAGCCATCCAGGCGCGTGGGACATGACCTCTCAAGATCTCATTGCATATTGGACTGAGAAGGGCTCACAGACATGCCAGAATCTAGATACTGACTTGTTACTGACAAATTGAGAGTACACCAATGAGAATCGTTATCTGACCAAATCAATGTTTGAATATGTGAAGCCTAACGAACAGATTGGCGAGCGAGAATGGCTCATCTATTCGCCTTCTAAGAAGAAAGTGTAATGTTTTTATTGCCGCCTGTTTTCTGATACCAAAAAGTGGGGAATGTTCTGCAAAGGCTTCAGTGGTTGGAAGAATACTGCATACATTACCAATGATGCAATGAGTGAGCAGCATACATTGTCAGCAGCTACCGTGCCCGAAAGAAAGTTAGTGGCAGAATTGATACCCAAATGGAAAGCCAGTTTTTGGAAGCTCATGCTTATTGGAAGAACCTTCTCAGATGCATAATTGAAACCTAGTTTTTCTTGCTGAGAGTGGTCTGCCATTCCATGGCTCAGATGAGACTGCTGGATTGAAACACAATGGCCATTACCTTGGTGTTCTAGAGCTAATTGCTAAGTTCAACCCTTTCTTAGCTCAGCACGTCAATGAAAACGCAAATTGTGGAAAAGACCATGCATCATATCTATCAAAGACTTTGTGATGAATTCATTGCACTACTGGCAAAGGAGATTCTATCAGCTATTGTAGATGAGATCAAAGATGTGGGATATTTTTCAGTGTCTGTCGACTCAACACCAGATATGTCACATGTAGATCACCTGACTGTCATCTTGCATTATGTGCTACCCAGCGGACCAGTTGAGCTTTTCATGACCTTCATAAACAGCCACACAGGGGAGAAACTTGCTCAGACCTAGTCAATTTCCTCACCGAAAATGGGATTGACATCAGCATTTGTTGTGGCCAAAGTTATGACAATGCAAGTAATGTAAGTGGCAAATATTTAGGGATGCAGGCAAAGATAAAAGAGCACAATGCTTTTGTTGATTACATACCATGTGCTGCTCACCAACTCAGCCTTGTTGCCCAGTCTGCCATAGATTGTTGTGTTGAAGTAGTTTCTTTTTTCGGATTTGTCCAAGAATTGTACAATTTTTTTTCTCTGCATCAACCAGTCGTTGGATGATTCTTAGAGATTCACTACCAAAGGGCTGCCCTGTGTCCAAATCACTCTCAGGGACACGGTGGAGTGCCAACGCTGAAGCTGTGAATGTAGTTGTTTTGGGAAACCCTAACATCCTTGAAGTGCTAGAGAGCGTCAAGGATGATGAATCTCAAAAATCAGCAACAAGAAAAGATGCGAAGATCCTGAGTGATGCAGTGCTCACTTTGGAAACTGGTATTTTGTGTGAGGTCTGGAATGATATACTTCAGCCATTCAGCAGGTGCAGTCTAAGCTTGCAAAGTGCTCAAATTGACCTTTCCACGGCTGTAAGCCTAATGAGGAGTCTTGGAACTGTTCTTCAACAAATGTGGGATAGTTTTAATGAGTATGACATTCAGGGGGCTGCAAGGACTGCTAACCATGAGTATAATTCAGCCAAATGCCACAAAAGACAGAAGACATACAACGATGCAACTGCCCACTCATTCAGTGACAAGGAGGCCTTCATCACAATCATCGACAAACTGAAGACTGCACTAGAACATCGGATCGAGGTTTACGAAAATATTGACAAAAACTTTAGTGTACTGACAATTTTTTTGCCTAACATTTCAAGTTCCGAAGTAAGTGAAGGTATCAAACGTCTGTGTCAGAAGTATCCAGATGATCTCCCAATAGATTTTACTAAAGAATTTCTTCAATTTGTTGAATTCGCATCACTCTCAGATATAGAGAGAAAAGATGATGAAAGCAAATCTATTTGGATGTACCGAGTTGTCACTGAACCAATATGATAGAATGTTTCCTAAATGTTGAAAATGCATTATGGCTATATGTGTCACTAATGATCACTAACTGTAGTGAAGAATGTTCCTTCTCTCTTCTGACCAGGGTCAAAAATGTCCTCCGATCCACCATGACTCAAGAGCATCTCAGTGCTTTGTCCCTCTTGAACACTGAGAATGAAATCGTCAGGTCTTTGAATTGCGATGACATCATTCATGACTTTGCCACAGCTAAAGCTGAGGGGGGGATTGTTTGTTTAAAGAATTGAGTGGTGTGAGTAGAGTAGAATAAACTTGTTAATTTTACATAAATAATATGTAAATACATATGTAGATAAATGTTTGATGACTTCATAATTGTTTTTGCAATATGCAATTCATACTTAGGCCCTTCCCTCCCATTAGCCTTAGACCCCTTATAACCTTAATCCAGCCCTGCTGGCACCCTCTCCCCTATGGCAGCCTTGCTCTCTCTCAGATGAACCCATAACTTATATATGGAAGGGCTTCATAGAAAAGGAGGAGCATACAGCAGAACCCTGCTTGGCTCTGAAGTAATGCAAGTAGAGAGGAAGAACAGGAGGACTTGTGGCACCTTAGAGACTAACAAATTTATTAGAGCATAAGCTTTCGTGGACTACAGCCCTGTTCTTCTTTTTGCGGATACAGACTAACACGGCTGCTACTCTGAAACAAGTAGAGAGGGTGATTGTGCCCAGAATATGTTTAAGTACCTTGATTCCAACTCAGTGTTTCTCAGATTGGCTGTAATATTGATGTTCGCTTCAGAAGTTCAGAAAACAGTTGGGGCCTAAATGCTAGCCCAGCCTGGAAATAGATTGCCTTAGTGCTGGAGACAGTTGTCTGCAAGGCTAGGTTAATAAGGTATCTCAGGTTACATTATGAAGGGTACTCTGAAACTTTGTCATAAGAGAACTCAGATGTTGTGGAAAACAGTAATTGTGGAAAGAGCATTTTTTCCTGTATGCACCATCCATTTTTCACTTTTTCAGATTATGCAATTAATTACTGAAGTTCTCAAGTCAGCAAAACAGCAAATAGTTGTTAAATCAACTGGTGAAATGCCAGAGAATTAACTAATGTTGCTAACCGAATGGTTAGTTGGAAAAGGCACCATTTGATAACAAAACATGGAGATGAGATTAACTACAGTACCTAATTGACTTACTGTTTTTAGCAGCACTTTAATTGTGTTGAATGTCAGTTTAATCAACTCTCATAATTTAGCTGAGACTCTTATTTTTTCCAATTTAAAAAAAGCCTGACTTTTGCTTTCTTGTAGACAAAAATAAATAAAATGATAAAAATTTAAAATATTAAAACCTCAAGCCAACCCCAAATCAAACCTTTCCCTTTTAACTCAATGGGAGATGGCTGAAGGTTGGCTGTTTGCAGTAATGACTCATGACTTTTTATGCTATTAGGTATGAGAAGATACTTCTGGGTGATGTAAGAACATCAACAGCCCCGGGGAATCAGAGACCGCATCTGCATTTTGACAGCATACTGTCAGAAAAAACAAAATATGGCACACAGTTTGTAAACGAGTGCAACACTGTCAGATGAATATAAAAGAATCCTGTCTATGTACATCTCCACCCCCTTTTTTAGGATTTTAGAACCAATCTGGATATAGCTTAGGCCTTGTCTACACTCAAAGGTTGCACCAGTAGAATTCTACCTTTTTCAGTGGACACCGATGTGCTTCCATGAGTATGTTTGTCTCCTCCTGGAATAACCCTGAGTTACTGTGAACTAAGTATTCCCCTCTTAAAGTGACACTAAATGATGTGATTAAATACCCTGCAATATTTTTGTGGAAAATGCAAAACTTTCCCACGCATCCAAATTCAGCCCTGGCGTAAACACACGCTACTCCATTGAAGTCAACAGATTTAACAGCCAACAGTTATTCTACATACAGCACCTGCATAGACTTCATAGTCATTAGCAGAGATAGTACTTGGGACCTTCTATTCCAAAACCATAGGCTTCTCTCACTTGAGCTAAAGGAGAATCTGTGTTAGATGTAGTTGTACTAGGGCTTATATACTGCTTTGGCTGCAGCCACTAGAGAGCAGTACTATCACAAGCAAATCTGGTATTCTATGCAGCTGGGGGTGATAGTACATATTTACTCTAGTGATCACTGTGCACTGTACCTGGACAGGGCTTGGCCTCCTGGCCAGTAGATTGCCCAGAAGGGGTCACCATAGGGCCACAAGTCAGCTCTTTCCTGCCAGAATCTGCAGCGAGGTGTCAGAAGTCGCAGTCGTATCTCTGGTGTGAGGTGCCCGCTGCTACTGACTTCAGTGTTCTCCTCCAGAAACGCTCTCATCTCAGGATCCAGGAAGCTTCCCGGAGTCCTGTGATAGCATCTCCATATCAAAGAGGTGCTTCTGTTACTGCTCCTTGAAGCTTTTGTGAGGACATCCCTACTGCCAAAGCCTATAAACCACTTCAAGCGGCAGAACACCATGCCACCCCTTTGGTAAAATCCTTCCTGATCTGAATTCAAACCAGCTGCACAGCGAAGGTTTATCTTGTGTAGGGGGAGACGTGTTTGAAACCAACTCAGAAGCGGTTTTGTTTGGTAGCAATGGATGGCAATTCCTGAAAGCAAGAGCAACATATTAATGATAAAATATCTAGTTCAGGGTTAACAACCATCAATGCTGTAAGAGGAGGCAGCTGGATGGGAGTTGCTGTATGTTGATGAAAGGTCTCAAGTTTGTCAGGCTCATATTTCCCCAGGTCACAGGTCTACAATGTTGTTCCAGAAAAGGCAAATCCTACACTGGGATGGAGAAACTTGGAGGCTAGTGAGGTGGGGAAGGGGTGGTTTTTTGGTTGGGAAGCAACAGTTCATGTGACAGCTCATTACTCTAGTTCTGTTATGGCAAGAGGAGATAAAGTCAACACAATGGGCCAAAACCATGGCTCCACTAAAGTCCAGGGCAAAACTCTTATTGACTTCAGTGGGACTAAGTTGTGGCCCTAAGGAAACATAAACACGCACTGTGCATAAATTACACCACATACTGTTACTGCTGGGCTTGCCGTTTAGATGGATTTGATTTCTAATTTCAACTTTAGACCTTGGCTGGCAACTGGTACAGGCATGTGAGTTGTGTCTCTAAATCTAAGGCCAGGTCTATGCTACAAACTTTTACTGGCATAGCTACATCAGGCAGGGGTGTGATGGTATAATCTCTGACCGACACAGCCGTGCCTGCAAAAGTGTAGCTGCAGTTATACCAATAAAACTGTGGTTTTGCCAGCATAGCTTATTTTACTTGGAGGGTGCAAGTGGGGGGAGCTGTGTCCAGTATAGTATGCTAGAGTAGCTATACGTGCCATGTGCTCTTAGCATAGACCTGGTCTAAGGCTCGGCTACTAATCTCACATTCTGCAGTAGGTATTTCCATTGGGAAGGAGAGAAGCAAAGAGGAAGCGGAGGATGACACAGAGAGTGAACATTAAATGGCACCTTTGCCTGAAAAGGTTTGGGGAAGGGTATTACTTTTAATTGTGCTCTACAGTGCCTTTGGATACTTAAAATAAAAGCCAGGACAGTGGTGGTCGTGTTCAAGGGAATGAGCCATTAAAGTCAACAAGTCAGGGAACTGCATATGGGGAAATGTCTCAAACACTTCCAAGGACATACAATGCCAGTGGTTGAATTGACAGATTTGAAGATTAAATGCACACATTTTTTAGCGTCTGCCTCCCTGCTCCCCACAGATAAACACAACAGCAGGATGTTCACACTTATTGCTTTCCAGTGAATGTTTAATCTAAGCAATTATGCACAGGCATAGCAGAGAGCCCAGGTTGTTGTTATATGTGGCGTGAACTTTAAAGTGGCTATAGAAATGCTAATTAAAGGTCCAATGGCTGCTTTGAATTTCTTTCAGATATTTATAGTGCAGTACTTAACTAATCTACTCTCCAGGGGTGAGTAAGAAGTATTCCCTGGCAAGTGGGGGGGGGGGGACATTAAACCATCAATTTCTGGGGACTTTAAGCTTTCACTAAAACAAAAGCAGGTTCCAACCCCTAGGGTTGTGGAGATAACCATATGTGAGCTGAATGTAAACCACTGTAGTGTGGTCTGCAAAGGGAGGGCTTCAGCACCTGTGCGGAGACTCATAGCTTTGCCAAGCAGTAGCAGAGTGCAATTAACAACACTGGGCAGCTTCATTGCTGCCAATCAAAACACTGTGGGTAGCAACAAAACTGTCATGACTCCAATCAATTTCACACTGCTCCTGGGGGGAACAGATATGAGCTACTCTTTGGGAGGTGGACCCTAACAAAGAGACTGTGGCCCCAATTCATTGATGCCCCACAACCACCTTACACCATCTCTGCCAGCAAAAAGTGGCCAAAAAGCTGCCTTACTATCCCCAGTGGAATTTCCCCAATGTAGAGGAAGTCCCTGGCAGGCATGGAATAGGCATTAATTGACCCAAAATGTACACGTAGGGCAGGATTATGCATTTCTTGTGCACCCAGAACACTAACTGAGCCAAGGGGTGCCACTGGAGTGCAGGACTGGGCCCCTGGTGCATCCTAAGGCATGCCTTAAGCTTTTTTAACCTCTGGTCAAAATCAAATCCGGACACTAACGAGCAATGACTAAGCTGTTATCACTTAGCTCACACCTCTGCTGAAAATTTTTGCTGCCTTTGAAGTTGATGGAAATATAAAGTCTCTCTTTCCTCTAATTTTTTTCATTCAAAAAGAGCTCTATTATTGAATCTCCTGTAGATTTTGATGTAAATGTTGCTTAAAATCCTGCACTGAGTGGGCTGTCAAACTGTGGGAACAATCTGAATGAGCGAGACATTTAAAAATCTCTTAATTTTAAAACTATCAGTGTAACACAGGCCAAAAGTTTAATTATTAAAGCAGTGGTTCTCAAACTTTTGTACTGGTGACCCCTTTCACATAGCAAGCCTCTGAGTGCAACC